CTTCGCTCAGGACATTGCTAACCCCGCACTTTTCATTAATATACGTATTGTTAAAAAAAACATACAGAAACCGCGGATGATGCAGATGCGTTTGAATAACAGAACATACTATATATAGAGAGATATCCGATAAAAAAACTAAGCAAATAAAGTTACACGAGTCTTTTAAAAAAATAGCTTTTATTAATAAATACGTTGAATTGAGATGGTTTTATGGTAACCCACTTCATCATTCAAGAGATGTTAGAAGAGATCGGTATGCCAAGTTACAACTCAATTAGATTTTAGCAAGTGCTTAAAAAAAACTTATACAAACGAAGCAAATAAATGGTTTGTGTGAAAATATGACAAGCCGACCTACACACTTTACAATAATTAGTATAAACATTAAATAGAAGATTTAGAAGACTAAAATATATGTATAATATAATCTAAACTAATATTATAAAGAGGTAAAGTTTGTGAATTGTGAGTTTGTGACGTTATATGGGGTAATCTCTCTATCTACAGAACCGATTTAGATGAAATTTGGTAAGAAGATAGTTTGAGACCCCGGGAAGGGCTTAGGATACTTTTTATCCCGGAAATCATCACTTAAAAGGGTGAAAATAGTGATGAAAGTTTGTATGGGGAATCAAGCTAGAGACGAACCCGAGCGAAACGAGGGTGAGTCGCTAGTTGATAATAATGCATAATATCTGTATTTGCAACAATCGGTCCAATCCAAATTAAAATCAAGAGGATAATTGAAACCTCTAATTAAAATCATATAACTTTACAAATATATTTTAATTACAAAGCAAAACAAAAACAAAAATTTGCCTCAACACCTATGATTGTACGATGCAGGCGTTAATTGGTATGCAATGATGCATGACATCATCGCGTGTTTTCAACAAAATCAAATGTAACTTCGGACACTTAACATGTACCTATACCTATTTATTTGTACTTAGCTTAGGTTGAAGATTTCGCCCCCCCCCCCCCCCCCAACGTGCGTTCACCTTGTCGTGGTGGGGAGGCTCAGTAGTGCCCGGCAACCCAACCGGGCGCGAAGCTAAGAAACGCACAGGCAGGTTGCCCACTTCGGTGGGCGGTGGGAGGTGGCCCTCTTCGGAGGGCGGTGTACCATGCGGGTTGCTCCTGGTACTTCTCTGATAGCAGAGTGGACCTTGGAGCAACCCCATGGTTGTGGTGGTCTGCTTCGGCAGACCTGCCGTCGGGGCGTCGTAGTTGAATGCGTAAGCGATCCTGCGACGCCCCATTAAGACGGGGGAAGGTTTTGTTGGGTTTTAGTGGGTAGTACTGGCTGTATTACGCCGGTGAGTCCCACACGTCGTGCGTAAATGCATTTCCCAACGTTAAAAAAAAAAAAAATTGAAGATTTCAACCCAGGGCTCCTCGCGTTCATTTGACCGACTTCAAAATGTGAGAGGTACATTAGTACGTCTAATTGTATGTATATGCTTTTCGTATATCGTGAAATTGTCTTGAACTGAAACTTATGATTTCAAGGATCAATGTCCGATTTCACCAACATCACTTAAGCTACCACCTACGTATGGGATCCCTAGCTTAAAAGTTCCCCTAAACTAGCCCCTAAATTAAATTTCGTTTACGATCGTCAGAGCCCGTATTTCTAGTACCTATATTTAGGTGGCATTTTATTTATTTTTTAATTTTTAGGTGACCCCTAACTGTCGGTGAAACAGAAACTGTCCCCTAACCATGCTTAGGAGATCCCCTAAACTTAGGTGACGTTGGTGAAATCGGCCACAAGTCTTCTTACTAGGTAATTAATGTATTTTAAAGTACGACATATTGTTACAAGCTTGCAAATTACACTTTAATAAGTGGCACTGGCCGTCGACATCAGCAAGATCTTTACCACTGTACCTTTAAAACAAACTCACATCAGATCATTGAACTATAAGTTATATTTAGATACGATCATTCTCGTTCGAACGATTACAAATTAGAATAGTAAAATATAAGACAGCAAAAACTTGGCGCCACAAAAAGTTATACGTCCATACTTTCTATTTGACGTTTTTTTTTTTTGTTATATATTTAACGTAATCAGCGCATGCCAGTGAGCCATGAAATCCTTTAATTTGAATGACAAAAGTTGTATACATTCGCGTGCGGTGACCGCTGGGCGGGATTCAGCTCGTACGAATACGTTGCGAATATTCGTACGGTTTTTAATAACTCCAATTAGACCGTATTTGAAATGATAAAACTTATTTTTTTGATTTGGATTACCAAAGAAATTTTATATTTTCCTTTATTACCATTAGTTTCTATTTAATTAATAATTTAACAGATGATCACCTTTATTCATTATTCCCTCCACGATTAATTAATTTCTTAGAAATTTACCTGGAGGTGTTCATTTAAAAAAAAGGGATCGAGATCAAGAAGATTCTGTTATATTTTTGAACAAACTACAATTTAAATAATACATTATAATTTAAAATATATATTAATAAAAACAAATCTATCCCACGGGAACAGTACATTTTTCCAGGATAAAAAGTTGCTATGTGTTGTTTTGATGTATGAGCTATATTATTGTAGTGTCATTAAAATCCATTCAGTAGTTTTTGCGTTAAAGAGTAACAAACATCCATACATCTATACATCCAGATATCCATGTATCCTTACAAACTTTCGCATTTATAATATTAGTATGGAAGTTTGGATTCAATTTTGCAATTAATAAAAATATTCATATTATTTAATATTTACTCATTTCTATAGAATTAGATCATTTATAATAAATAAATTATTATTAAAGATATAGGAATGTGGGCAAGATAGGTAGTGAGCAGCAAAAATCAAACAAACTTATCTAACAGGCAGTGAGTGAGTCAGTTGACTGATAACACAATATCTATAAACAGCACAGTATGTTTCAGTCGAGAACAATTACGTTTCTTATATTCAAGTATCTGTAGTTCAATAGCTACCTATTATATAAAATGTGATAAGGACATATAAAATATTACATATAAATAAAACATTTCTCTATGGTGGAACTTATAACAGGACACTGCCATCTCTATAAACATCTTTTCAATATAGATCTCACGAACAGCCCTCTGTGCAGAGCGTGCCTTCAAGGGGATGAAACACCAGTCCACATTCTGCTTGAATGCAGTGAACCTACGAAAAACTTGGCCCCAAAAGATCACTCCCGGAAATTTTCCAAGAAACCGGCAATCTGTTAGACTACTAGGACGCCCTGGGGTGGAAAGAATAACACAATATAAATAAATAATAGCACAAGTTTACGTACAACAGACAAAACTCCCTAAGTACAGAAAAAGCCGTGCAAGAAAAAGAAGAGCACTTCTCTATCCATGTAGATTCAATGAAACTGAAACTCTGGTTAATGAAGAAACTCACAATGAATATAGATAGCTGTATAAGAAACAAATGCCACAACTATTAATAATGCTAATATTTCTGCGAACAGTAGACCTCGCGAGCACAAACTTTTTCCCAACAATTCATTCTGCTCATCACGCCGAAGATCCTCATCAAATTCACCAAATTTTTATGAGACTAACACAAAGTTACAACCTTTCAATTTAAAAAAGAACCATAGAAATCGGATGTCATCAGGCAGAGATATCACGTAGTTCTCTTTATGGAGGAAGAGCCACTAACAAAGTAAGACAAAAAAATAAGTAGTAAAACTTGTATTCTAGATTTCATCCAGATCGGTTGTAAAATATGACCGATCTGCAGAGGAGTACAACCAAATTGACAGAGGAAAGCAAATTTTGCCACACTTGAAGCAGAGACGCTTCTCTCTCTTGGTCAACAAAAGCTAAAATGTATTTGTTAGTTTGGTTTCTTTCATCTAGCAATGAAGGAAAAACTAAATATGTATTGTTTTTTTACATAGAGATAGTTTATTGTCTTTTATATCCTATAGAATTCAATTCTCTTGTTAGTAGTAGTAACTTCAAAACGTGCCAGTTGAGAACACATTACTTTGCCAATGTCACATAGAATAGAAAAGACACAAATTATACCCGGTATGTTAAGTTGCTCTCATGAGTTGATAATTTGTCTGTAGCAATAAATTATAAAAAAAATGCATTTATATAAAGTTAGCTACAATATAAATAAAAAAGGTATCGTTTAATTTTTAAATTTCAAAAGATTCAATTTCTTTTTTTTTACCTTATAAATCTAAATATTTTTATGGAATTATTACATTTATTTTATTTTGAATTGTCAATTACTAATAACAACAATAGGAACAATTATGGTATGTATGCCCAGTATTGTTAATGTAGGAGCGAAATGACACTTGAAACAGGCTATATTTTAATAAATTTTGAATATAAGTTAATCTTTGTTTAGACCATTATTAAATTTTCTAAAATGTTATACTTACGTTAGTACTCATACTTCATCAAATTATGATGTCATAAGTAATTCTGAAAATGGTGGTAATTAACCCGTATTTCCTTGTATATGTATTAAAAATATAAACTCATATTCTTCAATTGAAAATCAAACAAAATATGTAGGCATGTTATAGTTACAAAGTACATTCTTTTCATATGTATTTTTTTTATTGATCCTAATTTTACAGCTTTTATTAAATAAGTGATAAATAAAATTTTAATGAGAGATGTAAGGGAATTAGGAAATGTAACAATGCTACACCCATATTGTCAGTAATTCCAAGTTAAAACACAATAGATAGTTAAGCCAAAAACGTTTGCTTAAGCATGACCTCACATGTTAGGAATGATTCAAGCACTCCTAACTTAAAAATGTTTCACCATTAACTTAAAACCATCATTAGTGATAATTACTGACTAGAAATATTTTAACAAGTGTTATATTTTCAATATGAGAAATGTTTGCAGGATATTATGTGTATATATTATTTATAAAATGTGTATAGTTATTTGCATGCATTACTTTACTTTTTCTGATTCAATAACTATTTATAAAAGAGAAAGCATACATACATAAATGAGTCCAGAGTAATATCTGTCTTTGATGTTGTGCAGGACGGAGGCTTCATTCAGGCAAGTCAGCTCAGCCATATCTTCTACTTTATCGAACTTTGGAGGGTTCATCTTTTGGATATCATCGATAGGAACGAGCATCCGCTTTCCGGACTCTGCGATCTCCACTTCCACTTCATCTCCACGTTCACCCTTAATCCCTGCTGCGACAAAACCCTGGGTCTCATGTGGAACCCACACCAGCCTTTTTTGCGTCCACTCCGCCTGTGTCGCCGGGTCATTGAAACTGTTCCGATCGACCGACAGGTACCGGAGCTCCGGATCGTTTCTATCCATGTCCACCATCGCGCCCAATCACGCCGCGCGACCCTTACGATAACCGAACACCGGCACTGTATACCACATTAAACGGTCGACCAGACCGACACACCACACAACACGTTGTTGAAAACCACCGGGTTTAATTCGTGTGCCGCGAGGTACGAAACGTACAAAATGACGATTGCGACTGACACGAATGACAGCAGCAACGGTTGCAAGTAGGAGGGATGGACCGGTCGACGCCCGAATTCACGTTTTAGCCGAAATATGTACAAAGTTATCGTTAATCACTTGGACGGTAACGTGAATTTATGTAAAGAAGATGCTTAATCTAACAACGCTTTATATTGTAAATGTAGGAAGTACAAATGTTTTTCTTAATCGGTTAAATCTTAAAATACAACCAACAAATCACACACCAACTCCACTCGTCTTGTCAAATCAATCGTTGACGATGACATTGACTGTTACTTTCCATGAATTTGATTGGTTGCTAGAAGTTTTCAAACATTTGACTTACTATCTATCCAATAGAAATAATTTATTTTTGCAAAACTGTCAAATCCATTGAAAATGAGAACAGCTTTTTAACTTGCTCATTATTAAAATGTAAAAAAACTGATGAGCTCTATAAATTATAAAAAAATAATATTTATAATAATTTTGCATAGAAATAGATTATTTAATATGTAGAAATATTTAAAAATACCTTTCCTTTTTCGACTGTTAAACACATATTATTATATTTATCCAGAAATACATGCGTGAAGAGGAAGAATTTTGAATTTTATCCCGCCAGATGCCGCGATAACTATAGCCCTCAGTATATTGTAAGGCTCTATAGCGTGGAAGGAATATTTTTAATTTTATTTAAAATTTAATTAAAATGACAAATTGTGCAGTGCCAAGATGCTAAGAAAATGGATATCATTTGTTCCCAAAAGACAAAAACTGAAGAAATTGTGGACTAAAGTACTAAGACGACCATAATTAGCTAAAACACGATCTTTAATTAAGTATGCACTATGTATGTGGACATCATTTTAAAGAAAATGATTTTAAAACTTTTAAATCGTCTACAGGAGATTATTATTTTTTTACTTTTTGTAGTTTTTTACATATTAATTACATTTTCATACAAACTTTAATCCCCCGTTTTAATCTCCACCATACAATACTGTAAATATAATAAACACCACTCTCTGTGTATTTCACATTAAGAACTACAGGCTTAGGTTTCAACGGTTTAGGCTGTGTGTTGATATGGATCAAGTCAGCCCGTCAGGATCTCCCGAGCATTACTTAAGCATACTTGTGATTTGTAAACAAATCCATGTATTCATGAAAAATCAGTAATAATATATGTTGCCTAAATGAATCTGATAAATTATAATTATTATCATGGTAAATAAAAAAGTAAAGTACTAATCTTGGTTTTATTAAAATATTCTTTATATATTATTTATATATACACTATGTTTCTCGATAGTGATTCTGTTTAGTTGTCTATTATTTTGGAACAAATTTAGCCATCTTGTAGGAAACTATCGAGAAAGGCACTGTACTTGTGGATAAAATGCAATACCATGTAGTATTATATGATCTGTGGCAATACAAAGTATCTATAAAATGCACTGTAGTTTAAGCTTCCCGCCCTAGCTCCTATGCGATAAATTCTATGCTAGTAGTCTTATAAAGCATCTAATTATTACCCAAGTATTATATATAAAAATCAGCTTTTATACTATAACGTAAATAGAATTATGATTTCCTGAAAAGGGTGTCTTGGAAGGGTTTGCCATGATGTTAAGTGTCTGGCATTGAATGGCGTGATTTTTAATAATGTTCTGAAGGTAATACCAAAAAATCACACTTTATTATTTGACGAATTTAGATCGGTATTTTACACACCTTTAGTACTGTGTACCTGCCAAAGCCACCATAACCTGAACTTCATAATGGTCCATCGTTCTTATCTGTGTTGGGAGCATGCGCTGACAAACTTTTATAAGATGACGAAGGTCTGGCGTTCACACGCTCTTAGGCCATTAAGAATGACGGCTTCATACAATCTTTAATTTCCTATTTTACCCATTTATGGAATGCATTTCGAAAAAATCCTGGTCTAACTTAAAAGTACAATACATTGCACAGGTAAAATAAGAATTAAGAACACAATAGAATTAAAAAACTAGGTATACAAGAGGTATCATAATAAATGTTTAACCTCAGACTGAATGTAAATAGGCAATACGCGTGGCGCCCTCCTTTCGAGAAATCTTCGACATTAAACTGTCCCATTTCTTTGATGAGGCATCTGTACTAGTATTTAATTTATATTTTATTTGTCATTCATGACTAGTATAATATTACGTAATCTGTGGCAGGAACGTAGAAAATTAGTTCAAATAAATGTCAGTAGATGGCGCGATATCTATTGATTTGATATCGATGTTATAAATTTTATAAAAATATTTAGTTTTTAGTTAATAATGAAGCTTTCTTAGATTTACGCGAATATTTGACGTTTTAAATAAAACTATCATTTCGGATTTTTTCATAATAATGGGAACACTAAATATAGATTACTAATTAATATTTTTAAAATTGTAATTGTTGTAATAATAACAGCTAAAATTAAATAAATAATATTCCATATTCAATTATAAAACTAATTAAAATTATAAAAATGTTTAAAGTTAAAAAATATTTTATGGTACTTTGGTGCCATTTTTCAATTTTTTGAATTCACTTTGTTATTTGTGAGTCTTAGGCTGTCTGTAACAACTATATATAATACCTTTGAGACATCTAACACCTTACTCTCTCCCGTGACCATGATTGCTGTAAAGTAAAACATTTGAAACGTCGCGTCGGGAACCAAAAATCAAAATAAATTCGCGAAAAAATCCGAAAAGATAGTTTTATTTAAAATAATAATTATAATTTTTAGCGCGAAAAACGTTCCATCAAGAATTTGTCATAGCCAAAAAAATAAAATTTTGACTTTTTCTGAACTCTTCATTAGGGGTAACGCTTATAAGTTATAAATGGCTTGAAAGCTACCTTACAAACAGAATTCAGAAGAGTCCGCGTCGATAACTCTATAAGCGATTTTGATTCTGTATCATATGGAGTACCACAGGGAAGTACGTTTATCTACTTTTACTTTTATTTTTATTATACATACATTAATGTACTCTTTCGGGTAACATTACAGAATGCTAATACTATAATATATGCAGACGATACAGCTATCTTGTTTCGAGGTAAAAATTGGGACGAATTTCGCAGACTCACTGAAACAGACTTATGCACCATAACAACTTGGCTCGAGGATAGTTTACTTTCTCTCAATAAGAGAGTTACGTTATCGGGACTTGGGTTGTAATGAAACAACGTTTCTCGTTGAAAGGCTAAGTACAACAAAATTTATTAACTTACTAGCGACTTACCCTCGCTTCGCTCGGGTTCGTACCTAGGTTGCTTCCCCATACAAACTTTCATCCCTATTTTACCCCCTTAAGGGATGATTTCCGGGACTACTAAAAACTATCCTATGTCCTTCTCAGGGTCTCAAACTATCTTCTTACCAAATTTCATCTATATCATCAAAAAAATAAATCTTTCCTCTTTATAATATTAGAATACTTTATAATATTAGAAAAACTAGCATTGCCCGCGGTTCCGCCCGCGTTCAGATGACAAAAACCATATTCTTAGGTTTTACATATTAGTATACTCTTACATTGCAGTTTTTGTATTTTTTCTCTGAAATGAGAAATTTTCCCGCGGTAAAAAGTATCCTATATGTTGATCCGGATAACCAGCTATCACCATACCAAATTTCATCAAAATCCCTCCAGTGGTTTTTCTGTGATTCGGTAACAGACAGACAGACAGACAAAAATTCTAAAAACTATAGATTCGGCCTCTGTATCGATAATAAAGTATATTTCAGTAAGATTTTCCAAAAGCTTAGTTAGAATTTTATTATATTATGTATAGGTTTTCTAAGTTTTAATAGGAACATGAGTGCGGTAGTGTGTGTGGGTTCTCATCACAAAAAAGGACCTTTAAACTAAGTATTTATGCGTAATTGCTTGCTACCTGTTACAACTCAATTGTCTTACCTACCATACCTTGTTTATAATAATAGATCCCTTTAAGAAGAATCTAAAAAGATATTATATTCAATTGTTTTACATTTACATTGTTTATAATAATAGATCGTTTTAAGAAAGATCTAAAAAGACGATACATTTAATAGTATAAGATCCTTCCGAGAAGGATATCTAAATAGCCCACGTGTTGGGTTACAACTTACATAACTCGAGCAGAACTAAATTTCTTTGCTTTAGCAATACTAGTCGTGGACATCCCGCGAACTTTCAAATACGCATACAACTTGTAATCGTGACTTTTTCATAGGAAGTCTTAATTGTAGTTGTGAAATGGTTACAAGAATGAATAATGTAAAATATTTGAGCGTAGTTATTGATGATAAACGAACATGGGCGGAGCATATATTTTTATTGGCTATGATATACCTATACATAAAACTTATAGCCCGAGAGCTCGTGACGAATTATGGGAAGGTCCTTTTGGCAAGTTGAAATTGTGAAAAAATATAATTTCGTCAATTGGCGAGTCCAGTCCCGCGAGTCTGGTATAGCTTTAGCGGTTATTTCGCTACTGCGCAGTATATAACATTTGCAAAAAAAATATATCAAAAAAACATATTTTTGCCAACTTGATTTTTGTTAATCTCTTAATTTAGTTTTCATATAATTCAAAAAAAAGAACCCCAGACGTTTTTGTCGGTTATAAAGTGTTGCCAGACCTCTCCAAAGATACTTTATTAAAATTCCCAAAAATATACTTTTGGCAATCTAAAATTTTAATTACGTATTTATTGAGTAATTTTAAATAATATCTATATAGAAATTATACTTTTTCACAATTTCAACTTGCCAAAAGGACCTTTCCAAAATTCGTCGCCAGCCCTCGGAATATTATGTTCA